CCAGCGCGTCCGACAAACTACCCCACTACGAGAAAAATGACGCGCGGCTAGATTACTAACATTTATTTAAATAACAGCAAATGCACTACAAATACTAAGCTACGGAATTACCTAAAAGCTAAAGAAGGAACAATACACGAAACTATACTTGGGTCCGAATCGAATAGAAATTCGATCATTCGAATAAAACATTCGAATATATTCGTATTCGAAATTCGATATTCAGAGTTCTTCCATTTTCGAATAATATTCGAAACTCGAATAATCAAAAAACAGGGTTTCGAATAAAATTCGAAAACTCGAATAATCAAAAAACGAGGTTTCGAATATTATTCGAAAACTCGAATAATCAAAAAACGGGGTTTCGAATGGATTTTATTCGAATGTTTTATTCGAATGTTTACTCGAATTCGTATTCGAATGACTCCGTATTCAGATTATTCGACTTTGTTGTAGAGCCAACTGCTGAGTATCAAGCTCACTTCGTCCGCGTTTTTTTCGTAAAACTCGGTAATGCAGCTTTTGCAACCGTTATGACCTTTGAACTGTATGGAGAGTCGCATTCTTCCGAATGCTTGCGACAGTAAAAAAATCATGTGTGGATTTTAATTGATGTCGAAAGTAGAGCAAGCCCTTTGCTTTTACATTGCTGATGCTGATAAGAAATAAAGTTAATTCTGGTGTACATCAGTCTCTTTCAGGCCATCTGAAGAAGAGTCTTTTGGGCAGAGCATAAAAATTTATACTGACTGCTTTTTAGATCGTCCATAATGGGTAAAATCTGACTTTTTGCTGATGTATAGACTAGATGCCGACCGACCGACATCGATTTTTGGGGAAGTTTGAGCTGCGGGGCTGAGAGTTGGTACAAGGGGGTAAGTGAGGGTGCTGATTATGGATAAATTTACTTAATAAATTTTATCGATTTTTGGAAAATCTCGAGCTACGATCTTGGGAGTTGGTACAGGGGGTAAATGAGGATGCTGATTAAAACCGAAATCCATTTTATTGATTTCAGCAATTTTTGGAAAAGGAGTTGCTATAAGAGATACTAGGGGGCTGATTATATGGATCGGCTCTAGCCAGATATGTCGGCAAGTTTGAGATGTGATTGCTTTAGTTATTCGATAAATCATTCGAATATTTATTCGAAATTCGACTTCCAATGTTCGAATATATTCGATATTCATTCATTCGATATTTTTGATTTTCCGAATTTATTCGAAATTCATTCATTCGATATTTTTGATTTTCCGAATTTATTCGATATTCGTTTATTCGAATTTTTTTCTTTTCGAATTTATTCGATGTTCATTCATTCGATAAAAAATTCTGGAATTACCCAAGTATACACGGGACGAGTCCGCCTCGTCCCAAGCCGCCGATGAACATCAACCTAATTTCAACACACCATGTCAGGGGAATCACCTGGGTCGACCGCCTACTCTCGCCTCCGCGTAGGAAAGTTGCGACCCTCTCCACTTCCAGTACTAACTTTTCCACAAAGCCTCTAAACTTTCCTCGCGCGTTGGCTCGGCACAATTCAAAAGCTGTAACGATCACTTGCTCGCAAGAACTTCATCCACGGGAGCTTGCCGGGTTAGCTGCCAACCACAATCAATAAAGTGAACGTGAGAAATCAGAAAATAATTTGAAAACGAGGTTGGAAAATCAGAGAAGCATATGCCGCCAACTGCGCGTCCTTATATACCCCTCGACCTGGCAGCGCGCCCAAGCGGGAGAGGTCCGGGAGCGAGTATAAAAAGCGCGCCCGATTCGGCGGCATGCAGTGCTCCCGGCACCTAAATCGAGGAGAGGCTTGCATCGCGCGAGCCGCGACACAGCATGTTTGACGGATTTTTGAATGTTTTTTGCTTTTTTTCTTTTGCATACACTTCTCTTCTCTGATATTCTATAAACAACCTTCACTTTTTATGGGGCAGATAATCAAACAACCTTTACTTTCAGGGTCCTGTCTCTAGACTAACGAAGGTATGCACTCACCTCATAAATAAAACCACTGCTAAACAGGTGCCAAACTGGTCCGCTTAGCCGATTTGTCTACTTTGCTTTTGGTCAAATCACATCTGACCAGTAGCGATATGCAGCGGCTGAGCTTTTAGTGCCCTTCAAGAGAAAATGAAATCGTGCAATATGACAAGCCCCATAAAGCTCCAAAACTCGCGCTAGCCCTGCCCTGTATTGAAGACCACTTCGACCGAAAGCTAATCTAAATTAATGAGAAAAGGAAGAAAGAAAAAAACAGTTGTAATTGCGACAAGAACATAAGATGAACCATAATGTAAGGATAAAAACAACTATTAATTTGCACTTACAGGAAAAGCGCGGTTTACCAAGCTGACTTTCCCACAACGCCAAATTGGTGCGCCATTCTTTCGCCATTTATACACCCAGGGAAACAGCGCTCACAATCGCTGCGTTATAAATCCCTGGATGCGTATAGGGCATTCGATCGTGACGATGACGCGACCACGCGCCACACGCATGCGCTGCCCGCAATATTTTCTTGGTTTTCATTTCTACCCGAATGCTTTTTCTGCTCACCCGTGATACTCTAATCAGACACTCAAAGTGATTGAAGTAAGCTTCAAGGTGATGCCTCTCTGTTTGAGAGTTTTATGCTTGTGGGGCAAAGACTGCAGTCAAACTTGTCTCACGATTTTACAAATGACGTGTACATTACATCAGATGGATGCGGAAGTCTTGCGGTGGAGGGGGCATTGTCCGTGCTGAGTGATTCGGACCAACCAGTCAAGTTTTCTTTATTGTGACAAGTTCTGGGAATTAGCACGGGTCTAATTAAACCACAGCGTACAGCCGCAATAAGCAAAATTCTCAGATTCTTTCAGTCTTCGACTTCGCCGGATTCTAAGACACAGACCCGGCGAGATCAACCTCGAGTTGCAGACATTTTCTATTTCGCAATCCAGGATTGGCGAATACTTTTATGGGGTTCCAAAGTGCGGCTTAAAAAATCTGCTTTTAGTAGAAAAATCGAATTTTTTTAATTTCATACATTTTCAAGAATGGAGGCGTGTTACCTACGTCATCCCACCTAGCTCAGTTGAAGGCGTAAGACGACCTTGTTGCGCTCCAACTTAGCATCAACAACAATCAGCTATTGATGTGGAGGAACGTTGCTTTGAAGGCATACACGTTTCCAACAAAAGGCCTCTTTCATCCACACAGGTGTGTTCGAATGAAGAGAATATAGACGAATCCGCAATTCCAGGATTTTTAGTAACATTGTTTTAACTACATCGCCTGGCAACTTTTGTAAGCGATCACTGCAAAAAATCGACGATGACCGCTATTATAAATTTGGCCTAGCAAACGAAGAGATAAACAAAATTACAATATCTTAACCAATGATTGTTACGATCAATAGGATAAACACAAAAATTTCTCAATCGTTTCTTGGAAATTGACGCAACTTTGGGCTAAATAAAAGTAAAACTTTTTTTGTTTTTTTCAATTATCATCCTCTTTTGCTAATCGCCGAAATAGTGTAGTTTGCACACTAGGCTGTTTTTGGCATAACGTCACCCTATGAGTCGCGTAAGTTTCTCACGGGCAGCTTACGGATATTTATTTGGGCCACCTTGAAACACATTGTCCGCACAAGCGGGGCCAACGCATTCGGCTGGCTTGTACCGCCGGCAGGAGCTTAAATTATCGCAGCATCTGGCCAACCGCTAAGCCGTCTTCTCACCATCGTTCAATGTGCGATTTCTCAAGTGTTCTGTGGCGCATGTTCTACGAAATAGGTTTCAAAATAATTGTTGGGGTTTTGATAATTGTGCTTTTTTTCTTGTAACTAAAATTACTATAACCATTGTCAATCCGCGCCATCAGACTGCCTTTCGAAAATAAAGATTTGTGCCGATTTAGACTCGAAAAATTACTCATATTTGAAAGCTCATAACTACTCCCAGTCACTTGGCAAATATAAAACATATTTTTGAAATCAGCGTTTCAAAATGATGATGACATACAGCTTGTTTGGAATGGCTAGCTTAAGTTCTGACCATCTCCCGTTTAGTATCACTCATATATTTGGAACGCTACCCAAAATTTTCAAAAAATTTTTTACAAGCTGATTTGGATTGAAAATTTTTTAATATTTTTTCATTATTTGCAAGTGTTACTTGCACATTTTTTATCTGTAAGTAACTTCAAAAATTTGCGACACACCTTCGGGGGAAGGGGGGGGGAGGGGAGAAAATTGCGGGTGGGGCTTTTTTCAGTCCGCCAGTGGTCCAAGGTGATCCTACACCGCATCAGCATACTATTTGAATAAAAATTTAATGCCTCTTGGAGCTTTAAATGTACCGTCCACTCAGATTCTCGACTTCCATGTTTTGATTGTTTCGGGGCCTTCTCGGGTCTCTCATTCCGAATATGAAGTCGAGAATCCGCAAAAATCCCAACGTGTATGTCGTATGCTGCCAAAAACTCAAACACCTCAGCTTAGGGTGGACGGTGCCTTTAATGCACGTAATCCGACAAGCATGTTGCTAAATGTAAAAGCTTCCCTTGTGTTATTGCAAGTCAATCCATTGTGATAACAACATAAATATGCGCAAGCTTACTACAACTTAACGACTGCGCCCAATCAAAACATTGAAACTTCAAGTTGTATCTTCGAATATTCCACTTTCTGCTGGTTTGAAAACTTTCAAATGCTTTTTGCTTTTCGACATCGGCTGTCGCATTGATGAATACAATTTAGAAGCAAGCTGAAAGATTCATGCTCACGTATAAATTTGTATGAATATGCATTAAGGAAGCAAGGGCAGCTTCTTGCCTTTAGTGTTATCACCTCGCGCTTTCGTAAATCACACATTGGTTTTTCAGGAATTACCTGACTACGATCATACCATTGGCTCTACCAAACTAATTTTATCGCTAAAACGTAACCAAATTGTTTGTTCAAATGTGACCATGCTTTCAGCCTTGGTTTCTATATGTACATTAAAATGTGGTTCGCTCTTTTGGCCATGGCTGTCTTCATTCATCTCACATTTGAAGAGATACGTGAGTATTCATACAAAAAGACTAGATATTAAGAACGAACAGTGCAACCAACATCAGAGAGTGACTTCACACACTGTTTTCAGTTCATCTTAAGCGTAGATCCGTCTTCGAGAGAAACGAAATGAGACCAATGGGCATGCCAGGCGGAAGATCCGTCTTCGAAGGGAGTGAAATGAGACCAATGGGCAAGTCAAGCGGAAGATCCGTCCTCCAAGGGAATGAAATGAGACCAATGGGCATGTCAGGCGGAAGATCCGTCTTCCAAGGGAATGAAATGAGACCAATGGGCATGCCAGGCGGAAGATCCGTCTTCGAAGGGAGCGAAATGAGACCAATGGGCAAGTCAGGCGGAAGATCCGTCCTCCAAGGGAATGAAATGAGACCAATGGGCATGTCAGGCGGAAGATCCGTCTTCCAAGGGAATGAAATGAGACCAATGGGCATGTCAGGCGAAAGATCCGTATTCCAAGGGAATGAAATGAGAACAATGGGCATGCCAGGCAGAGGATCCGTCTTCCAAGGGAATGGAATGAGACCAATGGGCATGCCAGGAGGACGACCGTTGGGACAGAACGAGCTGCGAAATACAAAATTCGGCGAACAGAAATATTACAAAATGCGTCCAATGCGAGGTAATTTCAGATCGTTATCTACTCTATGACCATTCATACATTAACAACTCTTAAAGGTTACTGGTGATTTGCGGCTCTACAAAATGTATCAAACCGGACCTCTCTAATTTACTCATGTGCACATCAAATCAAAATATACCGTTAAAAGGTTGCGAGATTGTACTTTGCTTTGCCTATAGTGTCTTGCCATGATTCATACAAGTGGAAAGCTGTCACTTTTGGTTCAATGTTCCGAAGATTTGTTCAAAGGTGAATGAGCTTCGCATCGACTTGTGTACTGTAAGGCGCATGTTGAATAAATAGCAAAAGTTTTTATCCTAGAAAGAGGCGCCGCAACATCTTAGATAAACATTGTAGTAGCAGGTTTATCGTAAAGTTTATCACTCTGAGCCGCATGCATCAACATCCCCGCCAGATAGGGAATCGCAGTTCAAAAGAAAGCTTCATATCTTAAAGCTCAAGATATCTGGATTTCACGCCCTCTACTTCTTTACCTGTTTGCAAGTATTCCTTCACTATGAACATATTCATTTAGGAGCGAGAAGTGTATGTGTGATCCCTGATGACCCCGGCGGTCAACCGTCTTTTCTTGTAAGTCCCTTTTCAATCTTCAAAGTCAATGAAAACTTCCAAAATTGTATTGATTATTTGATTCTACAATGTCGAACGTGTATCTGATAAGAAAGATCGATGTAGCGAAACAATGAAAATCGCCATGAACCACAAGTCAAAAGTTGGAATTTATCGAAAAGTACGACATTTCAATAACTCGTTGTTTTTATCAGAAACATGCTTGGCACTGTTTGCTTAGATAATTAGTGAACTATGGCATGTTTTCATTAATTTTGAAGAAAGAAAAATGACTTTGAAGAAAAGCGGTTGGCCGCAGGGGATTATCAGGGGATCATACAAAAAATTGGAAACTGCGGCTTTTGCCGCTCCTCTTCAATATCTCCATAGCATTGGTGCGATAAGTGAGAATGACCCCTCCAGCGTGAAGGGGGTCACAGCGATCGCAGCCCTTTGGATAAAAGGTATTTCACTTGGTAGAGAAATTATAAAATGTCGACCGGGAGAGGGAGTGGGAGAGAAGATGTTCTCTCATCATTATTCCTAGTCAAAGTTTATGATTTTCAATTCCTTGCTATCACTGGTTGTCTTTTTTCTATGTGAACCGATGTGCTGCTGGATTAGCACACAACTATGTTTCTGACTAGAACCTTGTATATTCTTTTACATTTTTCCTTTTCCCTTTTTTACATCACCCTGCCTGTGTTTGAAATTACCATAGAAGATGTGCCTGCGAGAACATTTGTTTCGGAAAGAGTTAGACACTTAAGCATTTGCGAATTTTTTGAAAGAAAAAATTGTAATTTCTGTAGATGAACAGCGACATCAGCAAGAAAGTTGTCTTTAAAAAACCATCTTTTCTTCCGCTTTTAGATAAGATATAGTTTGCCTGGAGTCTGATGAGGAAGGCTGCCGGGTAAAGGGTGTGAATAGTGATTCCTTATTATTTACGAGTTTTTAGGATAAAGAATCCGTAACTTCTGTAGATGAACAACTTGTACAAGGAAAACCATCGGAACCGCCTAGTCCTCCGCTTTCAGAAGATATAGAGTTCGCTTGGGGTCCATTGAAAAAAGTGCCGGGTAGAGGGTGGATCAGACTTGAATACGGGAGTTCTCAAGTACTCGTTCTTTTACTATGGTGAAAAAGCCTCCACCTGAGAATTCTCATTATAAGAGTCTATCCTACACCCGGCACTTTTTTCAACGGAGACGAGGCGGTCTGACGGTGACTATTTCCTTGAATTTGTCCATCCCAAAAGTTAGAAATTTTCTTATGTGAAAAAGTGGAAAATTTCCAGAAATCACCAGGCACATCCTTCACCCAAGCACTTTTTTAGACGGATCTCAAACAGTATGTAGAAGTGCTTCTGTGCCAAACAGGTTTGTTAGGTGTTCTTTATTTCCAATCACGGCCTAACGCTTCGTGTTTGGCACAGAAGCACTTCTACTATACGAATTATGCCCAGGTTCAAAGAAAGCGAAACTTTCAAATTATTAGAATCTCAGACACTACATATTTTTTGAAAGCGGAGGATGAGGCGGTTCCAATAATGACTATTTTCTTGTACAAGTTGTTCAACTACAAAATTTATGAATTTGTTTATGTTGAAAATCCGTAAGTGATCACTAGACACACCTTTCACTAGGTACTTCTATGAACGGACTCTAGGAAAACTATTTATTCCCTGAATCCGGAGTAAAGCATTGTAACAGAACTTTTCTCGCTGACGTTGCTTTGCAGCTACATGAGCTACTATTTTTTTCCTTTTCGAAGTTCGTGAATGACTATAAATCTTCTTCATCCTTTCCAATACACAAACAATTCCCTACAAAAATCTCCTTTGCTTAACCTTACCTCACTGTTGGTTTTTCCCGGCTTTTGGTGAAGGGGTCGCCTTGGTGTCGATCCAGGGGTGAAGGGAGGGTGAGCAAATTCTCACACTATCGCATCTATGGCGTAAAATCCAGATATCTGGAGCTTTAGAATTTGAAGCTTTTCCATTAAGCTGCGATACCTTCCTCAGCGAGGATGTTAATGCATGCCCCTCAGACAGTCGGTTTGGGGTTCTGGGGAACATCTGGGAAAACTGGATTTTCCCTGCGGTGGGTATCCTACTTAATCCCCCAAGATCTGTTCCCGGAATTTCTTAAAATTTATTTTCCAAAACCCTGCATATTACAGACTCGAATTTACCACAAAGTGAGTCCCTCGAAAACCCTGCACTTCGCACACATGACATACTGTAACTAACCGTAATAAGTCATAAATCCCGATTCTAGTCCAGAAACCCGATCAAAACTATTAGGTTGTCAAGAAAATAATGTCGTTTTTTGTTTGCTTGCTTTAACAAACCAACCAGACTCAACCCAACAAAGGGTAAAGGTACTGTTCGATAGAGCAAAGCAAGCTCTACGAGACGGCCTTCATCATTTTTCGCCAAGCTCGATCCACGGAAAGTTCGAACTCAAAATCTGAAGATTTCCAAATGACCAAAAATCGAAAAAAATCAGATCTTCGTCCAAATAATTTCTACGGACCTTCTACTCGCACACATTAGTACTTCCGATATGTGATACCGGTATGTGCGGTTGCTGTATTTTTTCCTTGACTAGAAACTGAGAAAACGAAAATTTTCGTGTTTTTCTAAAAGCAATGCTGAGCCGTTCTTGCATGTGTTATTCTATACTACAAGCCTAGATAAGTATAACTGTAGATTTTCAGCCCATTCCGAGCGGTAGTTTTTGAGAAATACCGCTTTTAGCACTGAATTTAAAACGAAGAAAGCTGATTTCGATATCTCTCGAAAACTACCGCTCGGAATGGGCTGAAAATCTACAGTTATACTTACCTAGGCTTGTAGTAAAGAATCACACATGCAAGAACGGCTCAGCATTGCTTTTAGGAAAACACGAAAATTTTCGTTTTCTCAGTTTCTAGTCAAGGAAAAAATACAGCAACCGCACAACAGGTATCACATATCGGAAGTATTAATGTGTGCGAGTAGGAGGTCCGTAGAAATTATTTGGACGAAGATCTGATTTTTTTCGATTTTTTGGTCATTTGGAAATCTTCAGATTTTGAGTTCGAACTTTCCATGGATCGAGCTTGGCGAAAAATGATGAAGGCCGTCTCGTAGAGCTTGCTTTGCTCTATCGAACAGTACCTTTACCCTTTGTTGAGTTGAGTCTGGTTGGTTTGTTAAAGCAAGCAAACAAAAAACGACATTCTTTTCTTGACAACCTAATAGCTCAAGTCACTCAGTTCCCGATCAAAACTACTTTCTGAAAATAGGGAACACTATCAGATATAGTATCAAATATTCATAATAAAGGGACCAAAAATAAGTTCTAATTACAATCCCATATAACTGTAGAAATCGGGCAATCACACAAACAAGGACATAGAGTAGCTATTAGATTGTTGTAAAAATAATGTTCGTTTTGCAAAGTTTTACTTGTCCAATCTTCAATAAATTTTCGTGACCAAGCGCGAGCTGCTTATAATAATATGCAAACGAGAAGAAAACCATACGTCAAAAAACCGGAAGTCTTTTTTTTCTGAAAATCTCATCCTTGAGAGATTACAACTCCCTCCAAGTTTTGTTGCTGTTATTAATCAGCTTATTGTGTAGACGCAAGCCAGTGATATACCTTTGTACAGGAAAGACTCAACAAGGAGCTCTGCGCAAGGAAAAAAATCAATTTTGTTTATTTTGAGCCTACTTGTGTTAGGCCAGGAAATCCAAAACTATTCGGGTGAATGGTAAAAAATGGGACACCTATAGAATAACTGTAGTGCTTTCAAGAAAGACAAGTGACTGAAATTCCCAATTTTTAGGTATCGGAATATTCAAACTACACCTACAGTGACCGCCAAAAAGTTGCGGACAAGTTGCACTCCTTTTTTCATTGCTCATTTTCAGATGGAAAACAAATGAAAAAATGCATGCCGTGATAGAGCACATCAAGAGCTACAAAGACATATTAAGCTTTTTGGGAAACATGTATTCTAAGAAATCTAAAATTCTTTTTCCAAAAAAAGTCCAATTATGGCCGCGTCACAATGTCACGGACAATAATTAAACGTGAAAATTTTTTTAGGTCTTTTCTTGAAACAAAAACAGAAGTTTTCCGGACATGAAAGAATACCATATAGTAGAGCTCATCGAGGACAATCATCGGATAGTGATTACTTCCAAAAAACCCAAGCTTGAGTTTTATTTTGCTTTTTTTTTTGAAAAATAATCTCTAATTTCCTTCTTCAAGCCAAATTTCTTCAGATAGAAACCTATTCAAGACATTTCAACAAAGCTATGTGGATAAATTGGATGCTCTTCGTTGTCCTCTATGCATCGGAGTATGCTGATGAATTTCTTTGCTGAAAATGGCTCTCGACACTCGTGCACATGACCCCATCTGCCCCTCACCACTGACTTGCACCGTTTGCAGACTTGTAGCTCGGCCTGTCGATCTACTGGCCTGCAAGTAGGTTCATTCGAAAAAGCGTGACCTTCTCGATACGTTCTTACGAGGGTATACAAAAGAGTTGAGTTTGGGATATTCCGGAGTTTTTACGGATGGGATGAAGAAGAACAGCTTCAGTGTTAGGCTAAGGATTTGTCAGCTAGAGTCGAGCAAAGCTCCTTTCGCCACCACTTCCATCCTGGAAGTTCAAAACTGTAAATTTTCTTGTAATAGATCCATTTCGAAGCTCTAAGGCTGTTCTGGTGTTGATAAGAGACT